TGTAGTTTGAGTCCTGGACCCAGCAGTTTGAAAACCATGTGGGAGGCATGTACATGAGTGCCCAAAATCCCAGGAGGAGAATGGAGGAGAAGGGACCCCCCCCTCCCGAGGGGGGTGGTTTCTCGCTTTCCCTCTCTTCTCTCTCTTTCTGTCTCTGGTGAGCACACATGCTCTATGACAAAACCTTAAACAAGAAAAAGAAAGAAGAAAGAGGATTAGAAGACTTCCAGCGTTTGCATGTGGAAGTGCCTGGCGGCCAGGCCATCTCCCCTCTGTCCCCTTTCCAACCTCTCACAAAGTCCAGGAGAAGCCGTAGTGAAGCAGAGACAGCAGGTGCCCACCAAGTTGCTATGGGAACCCAGCCACATGTGCGACATCCCCTGGGTGCCTGGGAGGGGCGAGGCAGCTGTCGGGTGGTTGGCCGCAATGACTGCCTTTTGGAGCAGAAAGCCTCAGCTGTTCCAGGCCCCCCAGGTCCCAGCTCAGCCCGGCTCACAGAGCCCCACACAGCAGCTGCTGAGCTTCGGGAGAGCTGGGGGCACTGCTCCGTGCAGGCTCAGCTCCGGCCTGGGGGAGGCGGCCGGAGGCAGAGCGGTACTCAACTCAGCATTCTCGGCTGGAGACGAGCCTACGAAGCCCTGTAGTCCATCAGCCCAGCAGCAAGCCTGCAGCGAGCCCGTGGAGGGAGCCTGCACTGCACCAGGCGGGCCGTGGGGAGGGGAATCAGAACCTGTTGGTGGAAGGACTTGAGTGGAAATCTGAGTAGAAACTAGAAACAGCTACGCCCCCTCCCCATTGACGGAGTGCCATGGTAACCACTTAAGGTTTTTTTTTTTTAATTTTTATTTGTTTTAATTTGCCAGGGAATGTGTGCACTCTCCCAAGAGAGGCAGACAGAGGGAGAGGATCAGTACCATTCACTGGGGATGTCCACATTGCCGTCCCTTCTCCACTCTCCTCCTGGGATTCTGGGCACGCAAGCACACGTGACCAGTGTGTTTCTCTAGCCACTGGGGCCAGGAACCACACTGCACCACCAGCCACGTGGGGGGCTCCCTTAGCCAGCGGCTGCGGGACTGCTCCCTAGGCCCGTGTCCCTCTCTAAGGTCTGTGCCGCGGCCTCTGCTGGACAGCCTTGTGTGCCCTGTTTACCCCTGGAGACTGAGCCGGGGGCTAGGGGGCTATCTGGAGCTGGGGGCCACACCCAGAGCTGGGGCCAGACTGCTGAGGGCCCTCTATGGAATCCCAAGTGGCTGGACCTCACCCTGTAGGGGTGGGCAGGGGAGTGATGGGGCAGATTTCTCTGGTACCCAAACCACCCCTGCTCTTACTGTAGGGTGGACCAAGGAAGGGTGAGCCGAAACGGCCTTGAATCCAGTCAGAGACGCCGCCATCATGCGGGGGTCCAGGCAGGGGTGAAAGGGAGGTGGATCGAGGCAGGGGTAGAGGGGCACCAGGGAGAGATCTCAGAGATGAAATCCAGAGACACTCCCAGGTGGGACGCTGCAGCCAAAACCGTTCCCAGCCAGAAACCTCTGAGGGTATCTCCGCAGTTTGTGGGCGTAGGGGCGTGTCTATGTACATACGTGTGGTGTGCATGCGTGCTTGTGCATGTAGGCACGCGGGGCTGCTGTCTGGCGCACACTGGTGGTCATGCACGTGCCTGTGCAGGTACATCCTGCACCCCTGCGTGACTGCCTCGGAGTGTCTGTCTGCGGTTCCCTGTGCTCAGGCTCAGTACCAGGCACCTCCCCCGGCAGGCACCCCCAGGACTTAAGCCGCTTTAGAGGCTTGTGCCGCTAAAGCGAGCAGAAGCTTCCCCGTTTGATGCTGCAACGTGAGCCCAGGCAGATCTACAAAGAAGCGATGGGGCGATGGGGCGGAAAGGACTGTAAACATCAGGATTAAAACGGCACTAACCCCTCCTGCTGCAGCCCTGCCCTGGGCTTCCTCATCAGGCGGGCTTTGATTTGACAACTGCACCCCCCCCAGGCAGGATCCCAGGGGTAGAGGGGGTTCAGAAGGAGAGACGGGCATGGCTCGGGGAGGGGCAGGAGCTGCCCTCTCCCACCCACAGGTCCCCTCAGCCTGGCAGGCCCCTTCTAGATGTGAACCAGGCTGCGGGGGCCTGCCTTGGGGCCTGCCCTGGGGCCTGCAGGGAACCTGCCTCCCTCCTTCCTTCCCTCTCTCCTCCCTTGCCTCTCTTTTCTTTCCTCCTTTCTTCCCCCCTACCCTGACAACCATTCCCAGGGGACACTGGGGCTCCAGGCCGCCTCCTCGCTGTGGGCTCGCTCTGATGGGAGTGGGTGTGGCACTACAGGCCAGCGTGGCTCCGTCTGAAAAGGTCGTTACTCTCACCCCAAGGGTGGTCTGTCCTAACAGAGACCTGGGTTTCACCAGGTGGGTCTGGGGCCAGGCCACCCAGGCCAAGACAAGGCTAAGGTGGGAGAGGGGACTGCAAAGACCCTGTGGCACGTGCAGGCCTCGGCCCGGGAGCAGAAGCCTGTCTAAGGCTCAGACGTAGCCGGTCTAAGTCTCAGACGTCGGCGGGTCCTGTGGGTGATGGACACCCTCGAAGAATTTACTGGACTGGGAGTGCTGGGGCTGAGGGACCCAAGAGAATCTTTCTAGGCCAAAATATCTTTCCATCGGTGGCAGGCCACACCTGCGGGGATCACCCAGGTCCCCCTGCAGGAAGGGACCTAGCCAGAGGGCAGCCGGGCACGAGACCCCACTCATGCAGGGCACCCCGCATCCCGTGACTGGCCAGGGCTGGAACATGAAGATGAAGCCATGCAGACCAAGGTGGGACAGTTCCAAGGGGGTCAGGACTTCTCCCAGGGGTCAACTGAGCTGCCAGGGGGCGTGAACGGCAGCCTGATCATCTTCCTCCATCCCCACTTCTTCTCTTCCACTGGGGAAGACCCCAAGATCCCCCCCTGAGCTCCAGTAGACCGCATCTCAGAGGCCCTGCCTGGCACCTTCGGCCGAGCACCGTCCCCACTCTCCGCTCCTCCTACCTGTTACTTTGTTGAATCCCCCAACACGCAGAAACCTGGAAACGCAGCCACGGACGTAAACGCAGAGCTCGGCAAGGTGAAAGGAGGCAGGACTCCACCAGCATTGCCGGTCCGGTGCGCTCCCTGCTTCCCGAAGGTAACCAAGACCAGCGGCTTGGCTTTAACCTTACCGAGTGCAGCCACAGAGGGCGCCCTCTTCCGGCTGGACTCGGATGCACCGCAGGTCCCTAGGCTGCTGCAGGGGGGAGGCTTTATTCGTTCTCACAGCTGTCCACGCGCCCACCGACCAGACTGCCCTTTCCTTACCCGCTCACTGCCGATGGGCACGTGGGTGGTTTCCGGTTTATTGACTCCTACAAACTCTACTGAGCTAACCAGTGGCATGGTGGTTAAGGCATGCTGGATTCCCACACGGCTGACTGCATGGTTTGAGTCCCGGACCTGGCAGCTTGAAAAACACACCAGGTGTGTATGCATGCATGCGTGCATGAGTGCCCAAAATTCTGAAAGGAGAATGGAGAAGGGACTTCTGCAAGGTCGTCCCCCTAGGGAAAG